CAGAGATGTGTCCGTCCTTTATAATGAGAAATGCTGAACCCGTATTTTGAAGTTTTGGTGAATTTTGACATAATGTTAAGAGTTCTCCTCCACTGTAACAGTTCCACCTGATACGGGAGAACATGGCCAGCCGCTGACCTTATGAAAGTTGCCATAACCCTCTTTAGCACAGCTAAACTCGAGTATGCCGCCATCAAAGTTTTGAAAAAGCCATGGGAAACGGTTTTAGGACAAAGTTAAGCCAAGCTTTGGAGTAGAGAAGGAAAATTTCTTCAAAACGGTAGCTATACCGTTTGCAGTTTTTCTGGATTTCAGGGAAATTGGAGCATCCAAAAGTGTAGTCTCAGAAAACGACAGAACTTTTTGAAACGCCTTATATTTTGGAATGGCAGTTCCTTGCAAGGACTAGCTATTGTTCGGAGCCGCATCCTGATTGAAAGGTGGGGGGAGTGAGTCTGGCGACAGGATCAATCGTGTCGCGCTCGTACTTTTTCAAAAAAATATAAGAGTCACTTCTTCTTAAGAGGGTCTTCATGCGACACGACCCCCTTTGTAATATTCACAAATACAGGGGTGGCCAAAAAAAGAGACACTTTGCCCATGGCGCACATCATCGAACTTTTCGTCGCACAGGGTGCCGATGTTAATGAACTGTTTTACGGCGGAATATTCCGTAGGTGTTCCCCCGAAGGGCTCTTCTTTTGGTCACCCCTGTGCAGTTACATGGAATTGCGGTGAAGCGCTGTCCCAAGTCTGACGCTTACAGAACAAAGCATCACTTTTTTGCTGCCAACTGTTGAGACGTATGAATTTAGCGGCTTAAACAACTCGCTTATGGTACTCTCTACGGATGTGAAGGTATCAATAAGACCAAGGGAGATGAGGATGTTCTGATGATCTTGTGCCTCTTCAAGAGTAAGTCGACTGGCTTCACCTTGCTGAATTTCATTAACCTTCGACAGTCTCAAGCTCGACAATGAAATCTATCACCATGTGTAATAATGTCTGGAGCGCATAATCGCCATCCTTAAACGAATAGAACAGAGGTCTAGAGAGGTTTAGCAACGAAGCAATCTAGGTCACCTTAATAGCATTTCATAAGTTCTATGACCTAGCAACGGCAGGAGCAGCAGAGGGGGTAGGGAGAGATGTTTAATTTTTCTCCAAGGTCAGATCATTAGAGCTGCGCGACGCAGGCTTATGCCTGGGCTTAAGATTAAGCCGGTGAAACTCCAGTTCGGGGAAGGGGGAGGGCACTCCATTGTTGCTTCCAATAGTTAAGATAAGGATGAGAACGCTTGTGAAGCTGAAACGTTTTCACATTTCCGCCTGCCATGACCCAAGGGAACGGTCCTGGACCAGGAGAAAGGACACCTCTGCAAAGGGCTAAGGGTGCAGGAGCTCCAGGGTGGATCACCTGTGCAGAAAAGTGGATGGGATGTGGGCAGGTAGTGTGGAATGTAGGACATCCACCGGTCCTTATCAAAAGTACGCTCGAAATGAGTCGTTCACTTATTATCTTATCCGTAGTGTTCGATAGCCCAAAGAACTGCTCTCTAGTACTACGGATAAGATAGCAATGTGGCCCTCCCAAACTGGAGTTTCACCATTAAGCCTAGACGTTGGTTCAGGCTTGTTACGAGCGTATCAGAGACCAGTTGGCGCCGCACGCATTGCGCGCACAACACAGATCTGCGGCGAATTTTGATGGTGCGACGAAATTTTCAAATTTGGCTTGATACACCACGAATATCTGAATTCTCAGCTAAATTCTATCCGCTCCATCATCGACGGCTTTCAACCTCTTTTTCTTCGTCAACCATTATCCTCTTTTTCCCGGTCTCCGGACTGCTTCCGGACAATAAATCTCGTGGCAAACTCCGCCTACTTCGGTGCGTGCCCCGCCCACCAATAGCATTTGGCCCCCTTCCTTTCGCCGACCTCTACCCCTTTTTCACCGGTCTCTGGGACCTCTTGGAACCAAATTACGACACTTTTGGCAAACTCCGCCCACTTAGGTGCGTGCTCCGCCCACTAATAGCAGTTGACCTCTTTTCCCTCGCCAACCTCTAACCCCGTTTTCCCCTATCTCTAGGACCTCTTGGAACCGAATTGCGACACTTTTGGCAAACTCCGCCCACTTTAGGGCGTGCTCCGCCCACTAATAGCAGCATAATTTGCCCATAGAGGTAAATCGATGCCCTGATCACGAAAATGACCTTCATTTTTAGCGGTGGCGCCATCTGGCGCCAGTTGGCGTCACCTTGTCACGACACCTGTTTTCACCAAAATTGGTGTAAACTTCCATATAGGGGTTATTTGGTGTGTCCTGATTACGAATATGACATTCATTCGTGGCGCTGGCGCTATTTGGCGCCTATTTTCTGCTCGTCTGCGCTCTCCAACCGAGAAATATGCGTTGAACAACGTTAATGCCAAAAACGAATGTCATATTCGTAATCAGGGCACCAAATAACCCCTATACAGAAGTTTACACCGATTTTGGTGAAAACAAGGGTCGTGACAAGGTGACGCCAACTGGCGCCAGATGGCGCCAGCGCTAAAAATAAATGTCGTATCAGCACATCGACTACCCCTATGGGCAAGTTAGGGTTGTCTCCAAATGTGCACCACGTCAGGGAGGTGTTCTTACGTGACATTGGGCGCGGGCTTATCTACCGTAAGGGTAAATTAAAACTTGCCCACATGCGTACTCTTCAGAATCAATTGATCTACCAGCAAGCATGAGAGCAACGTTCGAGAGACTCAATAGGAAGTACAACAAATATTTGGTAAGTTTTCTAGAAGGTTTTCGTTGTAGCAAGCATGAATACCACTAAGTTGATTCACAGCGGGTCACCTTGATGTGATAACAAAGAAAGACCCGCTGTGAATCAAGTCCATGGTATTCATGCTTATTCTGCTTATTCAGGTGTGGGACGAAGAAATTGCGAGTGACGCGCTGGAGGAATCAAAATCGCCAACCAAAGACAATACTACCTATCTGAAACTCAGAGCGAGAATGTGTGTATTTATTTTTGGGTTAGATTTTTTTGTTTCTGACAGAATTGTTTTTTAGGGTCTTCCGTAAGGATGATTCACAGACCTCTCAGGGAAAAGGTTCGCTTAACCTTCAGAAGGTGCTTCCTATACAAAAGGATATCTAGTGAGTTCTTAGGAACGCAGATTGGCATTAACTTATAATTCCTTGAATGCAGATCGTGTCAAATATCTGCATGACGATTTGAAGGATGACATTCACCATTGATGACTAGATATGTATCGATCGAGCTGCGATACGGGAAAAGACGAATTCGTCAAAAATGCCGGGAAATTCCATTGTACTGATTGCAGTTGTGGTACTAGGTGCATTGGCTAACTTCTGAAAATTCACGATACCGTCGCGACAGGAACATGACACTTATTTTAAATTTAAACCATTCTGAATCTCTGATTCATCAGAGGTACGGAATAATTCAGAGGCAAGATTCAGGATCAAATTGAGTGGTTATAATTCTACTCAAATGTGACTAGGGGTGGGAGGTGGACCGCCAGTGGAGAAAAAAGAAAAAAATCGTGAAATACACAGGAAATACGAGCCTTTTGCTCTACGTTGCGGAGAAGTTCAAAAGGCCGGCAGGGAGATGAGAGATAATGTGAGCGCGGAGAGCGGTAGAGAAAGTCCGAGAAGAGAGAGCATAGCAGATCAGCGCATTGTGACGCAGACCGTAGCCGTATGCTATCCCGAAGGGTCAGGACCGAAAAATCCGTTAAATTTTCTCTGGCTTCAACACAAGGCCGGCAGGACATGAGAGAATAAGGAGAGCCGCGAAGAGAGCGGTGAGAAGTCCGTGTTAGACAGAGGCAACTGGCTTTCGCAACTATGATTACCCTGATAAAAGGCTTACATTAAATGTATGCATGTAGGTAAATGTAAATAGCATTCAAAATGAAGAATCTACATCGTTCAAAGCAAATAACTTAAAGGAACTTTGGGTGCCCGAAGTCAACAGCGTCTAGCGTCTAGTGAGTTTCGATGCAAGAACCTGGCCTCTCTGCGTTGCGAAATTGTGGCCCACCGTGGCCCACACGGTCGCAAAGTTACGATAGCGTGCATACAAGTCTATAAGGCGTAGCCAACATTACAGGAAGGCAAATTGTCAATCAGCCATTTGAAATGAAATATAGTTGTACACGCGCCTCAAGACGCTGGGTTCAAATCTGCTTCTGATACCCTGGGAACCATTTCCTGAAAGAAGGTATCAAGCACAAAAGCGCAGCGATAATGACCCCGTTCCACATGCATACGGTCGTGGGATCTACTCCAACAGTTGATGCACTTTCTTAGAAAATTAGCTACTGAGAGTTCTACATTATCCTTCTATTTTATAAAGCGCTAACTTTGTGTGTCGGTTTGTATGTCTGTGTGTGTGTATGTATGTATGTATGTATGTATGTATGTATGTATGTATGTATGTATGTATGTATGTATGTATGTATGTATGTATGTATGTATGTATGTATGTATGTATGTATGTATGTATGTATGTATGTATGTATGTATGTATGTATGTATGTATGTATGTATGTATGTATGTATGTATGTATGTATGTATGTATGTATGTATGTATGTATGTATGTATGTATGTATGTATGTATGTATGTATGTATGTATGTATGTATGTATGTATGTATGTATGTATGTATGTGTGTCCGTCCGCAAAATGAAGTGAGTGAGAAGGAAGCTCATGGGATAAACAAACCGCTAACAAATCGGGTAGCTTACAGGATTTGAGATATCAATGTTTTGTAGCAGGATAGTTGTGATAACACTCTTAGGGCTATATAAACACCTGCTTAGCACACTTCCGTTCATTCCACATGGTGCTGCAGTGGCAGCTGGAGGGCAGTGGAGAGAGGAAGGGAGGATGAGGGGAAGCGAAAAATCTACCGTCATATCATGATTGTGTCCCTTCTACTGTATGAAACACCATTGTGTTGCATACGCGTCACTTCCAGGAGGTGTTGGTGTCACAGGAGGAAGGGACCATAGCGGAGGATAGAAAGCTTGCGCAGGAAAGGAAGGTCCCGGCGGTTGACGGGGGACTAATCTGGTTTAAAAAAGTAAGGAGTTGCGCTGTTTAACCCCGACCTCTTACCTGTGAGTCAGGGACATACCGCTACGCTTCCTTGCTTTATAGCTTCTTGAGGAGCCTCTCCGCAGATATCGAAAGCCGATTTGAACACAGGGAGGTATACATCGAATCTTGAACGGCCTATTTCGTTGTTCTGGTACCAATCGACCTTTCCCATTGGTACCAGAACAGCAAAAGACAAAGTTCACATACTAAAAGAGTTTTTCTTCTCTAATGTGCCTTTAATCTTGGAGTTCTACCGTGCATATAAACGGCGGCTAAAGACAGTGATCACGGTAACCGGATTGCGGTGCGGTTTTGATGACGTCATTAAACGTCGATTGGTGACACAGGGTCGGTCCTATCGTTGTTACTTTTCGAAAAATTTTTACGACCCCCCTCCCCCAACGTGGATTTGATACGACCCCCTTTTCCATACCTCCACCATCTCCATCTTCCATCAAAACCCCGCCCACTTTTTCCTCCAAAAATGCCGTCGAGCGGGGGGAGGGGGTTTATTCCACCATTTCAACCCATTTCTTACCTATACTCCCACTACTTCCTTTTCTAGGGGGTATATACGCCCGCTGAAACGGCAAATTTTTATCCTGCGCGCCCTCCACTCGCCCAGCCTACTACCCACGAAATCTTAGTTTCACCTCAATCCCACACGTGATTTCGAGCGACTAAAGTGGGTACGACCCCCCCTCCTACAAACTCAACCAGGTACGACCCCCCGTTGTTACTCGTAACAACGTAGGGTTGACCCTGCTTCGTGATAAGAACTTTTAAACGATAAAGGATCCTCCTGCCAAACGACTTCAGGCAGCGTCGGTCAATAAAATACCATCAACTAGAGAAGAATAGAGTTTTCCTACACGTGTTCGTGATTTAAAGGCATGCCCCAGGACCACATTGGTGTGGCTCTTGTACGCGAATGCGAATGAATGGGTGGAAGTGGGCCGGCAGTAAAGAAAAAAGGAAAAGAATCCGTCAAAAACGCTTAGGTTAAGGGCTCACTCACCTTCCTAATTGGCTGTGCTAAGGGAATGAGAGACTAAGCGCGGAGAGGAGAGTATGGGGCGAGAGAGCGCTACAGATGAGAGATCGCCAGAACAACAGTCTGATAAGAAAAAAGTCTGCAGCTTGGGCAGCTTATTTGCAAGGCCCAAGCGCTCTTATCGGTTGGTTTCTGGGCACGAGAACGCCACATTTGTGATTGTCACTTTAAGGTCTATACACAAACCGAAACAACCTCACACGATCGTCTGCCTGGGTGTGCCTTAAGGATAGGAAGGAAAATTTGCCGTTGATCAATCCCTTTTGGGATGCGGCACGCATTCTACTTCCATTTGTACATTCGCAGTGGCGTTTGAATGCGATGTGGCCTATACAATGACTTGCGGGGGCCAGCCGATGTTACAAGTCAGTGTTTTTATCCTCCCAGACAAGTCTGGTACCAATTAACCGACCCGGAAGTGGAAGGCTTGGTTGGCCCGGGCGACTCACGATCCAGGATTCTATACCCGGACCGCTTGCGTGGTAAGCGTGTCACTTGCCACTACACCACTCCTGCCCTTATTTGAATTGATTGTGTTCGTGTTTTATCTGAATTTATTACATTTCTCCTCTACTACACGACTCTACTACTTAGTGTATCTACCATTGTTCTTGAAAATCGCACTAATTCAGGTCAGCCTCCTTCGCAACGGCACACTCTACGGATGCGATGGGATCTACGACACGAAGAGAGATTACAACCAACCTTATGTCTGTAGTGTGCCTCTATCAGAAGAGTTACATTCAGAACTATTAGTCCGCTTCTGCTGACCTTTTTGATAAATCGTACACATGTTTGAACGGCTCAAAAAACAGCATGATTTTACAAGACAAAGCTTATTGTGTCCTGTACCGGCTTATTGCTGTACAGCCCACACCGGTGTGACACGCAAGGATAAACTCAAGGGCAGTATCGGAGATACGCGTGCACGGCTCCTTCAACAACGGGCTGTCTCTCACCGTAACTCTCCATTCACACCAATGGAATGTGCCACTATTAGCAAAGCATCCATCAAAGCAAAGCATCGCTATGAAGGAATCGATTCAGCGATAGTGACATCCTCGACAACTAGTTCGGGAACTCCTCTGGACCGCACGCTCACCACTTTAACTTCGTACAGAGCTGATAAAATGAGGGCTCCCAGTTACAACTTGTTCGATGGTCCCTTCCTTCTACACTCATAGGTAACGTGGCATCCATGTTCTCGTACTCAAACAAGCTTGCCTCCCCCTGTTCTGTTTCCCTTTCCGCTTTTCTTCAACAAGCCTCGCGTTGTGCAATGTATCGCGACACCTTTTTTGAAAGCAATTCTTGTAACCCCACTTTTCAATTTTCTAACGACTCGATGCACAACAATGCATGTGCCTCGTTATTGCATTGCATTGGATCCATGTATCCTGTGCCAGCAAAAGCATTTTGTTAGAATACTACAGAACTATTCACAAAAAATACTGCCATAAAATCTCTGTTTTTTCCACTTATTTTTGTCCCCATCACAAATGCTGACCGCTAAGCTTCGAAACTTTCACTACTGGTCTTTTGGATCCTTAAAGGCACAACCCCGGCAGAGGTCATGTGAAGGCGTCCCTTCGGTCTGTAGCATAGACCCCGCAATTACAAATGTAGCGTCGCGTAAGCGGAAACCAACCGACAAGAGCGCTTGGGCAGGCTTGAACAAAGCTGCCCAAGCTGCAGACTTTTTTTTCTCTTATCAGGCTGTTGTCTGGCGCTCTCTCATCTGTAGCGCTCTCTCGCCTCATACTCTCCTCTTCGCGCTTAGTCTCTCATTCCCTTAGCACAGCCGATTAGGAAGGTGAGTGAGCCCTTCAACCTGAGCGTTTTCGACGGATTCTTTTCCTTTTTTTTCACTGCCGGCCCACTTGGCACCGATACATTCACATTCGTGTGCAAGAGCACACCAATGTGATCCTGGGGCATGCCTTTAATGCATAGATAACTCTCACGAAAACGAAAACATGAACAAATTCCAAATCAATTGATGAGATTGTAAGTCAGGAAACGTATGGTGACATACCGTGACCCATGTTCGCTGCGAGGGGTGGGGGGCTTATACGAAGCGTTTTTCACTTGCTCAACCAAGTGAAAGTCAAAAGCCACCACGGACCTATGCGGCTATCTACCAGAAGGTAGACAGCCTCAGTGCCCGGGTAGGGTTAGGAATACTTCAAGACTCCTCCCCCACTTTTCGGCTTTTGGACGCATTCTCTCGCCGAGGAGAAGGCGCAGACAAAACGACAAATGGAGGCGAAGACCGGTGTCACACTTTACCAATCCGACGTTTCGCTAGCGGAGTACGAGCGTTCCACCAGCGTATAGCACGATGTACCAGCTACTCGGCGGTACTCGAAGTGGTGGGAGGGGTACAGCAGAATAGGGTCAGCGGATGAGTCGCAACGCGTGATGTGCGATGTTGGATGCACTATGGTACAGTCTATTCAACTTGAGAAATCACTACAGTGACTACCGACTCTACTTCCCCCTGCTGCGCAAAGGGCACTCGTGGTGGGTGACCCTCTCGTTAGCAAGTGGCTCTAGCTGCTTTCCCAGGCTATCGTGGGCATGGAAAAGCCTGGAAGCCCGTGAAAGTGCGCGAGAATCAATGTGCAAACGAGAGGATCTCCCGCCACTATCAAACACTAGCGAGTCGCTGATACACCGTTCGATCCACATATTGCGGCTTCGAACGATCTGGGGGATAACTGTCACCAGCTCCGATAGCGAATCGTTTGCGCAGCACAGCATTACTGAAAAGCCTAATACACGCGACATTGCGCGCTATATTAATATATATATATAATCTATATACTATATATATAGTGCCCACGCAGCAACCCACCAGGGTTACGCGAAAACGCTTTCTCTTTAAAGGACGAATTCACGATGAAAAAGCAACCCATTTCAAATTAACCTAGGGATGGTGAGTGGTACACGAAAGAAGGAAGAACCATGAGAAACGGCCCAGAACCCGAGAAATGGTACCCCTTCCTTGCCCGTTGATTCGAGCATTGATGCGACTCTCATCGCTGTGCCCTCTTCAACACTACGCTCTCTCAGCTATCTAATCACTCGCCACGTATTGAACTACGGCGAGTGATCAGATGATCGGTGGGCGGAGATCGCCGGACCCGCCAGCTTTGAGGCATGATAGGTCGCCGAGGTCAAATTTTTCCATGCGAATTGCGCGTCAGTTCGCACCCTCAGGAGGTCCGTGGGTCCCTCAACTAGGTCAGTTTCCCTTTCTTCGACCTTCATTCTAATCGTGAATTCCTCCTTTAAGTAAAATGTGGAAGTAAAACTTTGGCACAACATCATGCTGCACAGTGTCGGCGAGCTGCATATGTAGCTTTCCCAACACAGCCCACACAGATCTCACGACAGCGAGGATCAAGTGGATTTTCTAAGGCCAAAATAGTCAAATGACGTTGGAACATCGGATGCCAGTGCTTATTCTCTTCCGTTCCTTCATTAGTATCTGAACTTGTCTCCCCTTTTCACTCACGTATTCAAGCCCCTGGTCAATCATTGGACCAGCAATATCGTCACTTCCATAGCCTGAGGAACATCTTCATTTGCCCTGGGCTTTTCCTTCACGGTTGGCGTTTTTGCGACAGGGTCCCTAACAACAGTGTCATTCTCAACGAGGTTAAAGGAATCTTCCGCGGAAAAAGCTCCGCCTCCATTACCACAGAAAAACGATACCTTAGGCCCCTAGCCTCATGAGCATAGCAAAAAGAACGGAACATAAGCGTTAGTTTCGATAATACTAATCCTACACACAAGACAAAATGATCACTCTTTCCGTGGAAGATTCCTTTAAGGTATCGTTTTCTGTGGTAATGAGGGCGGAGCTTTTTCCGTGGAAGATTCCTTTAAAGGCACAACCCAGGCAGAGATCGTGTGAACGCTTCTCTTCGGTTTGTAGTATAGACCCCTAGAGGACAATCACAAATGTGGCGTTCTCGTGCACGGAAACCAACCGACAAGAGCGCTTGGGCCTTGCAAAGTAAGCTGCCCAAGCTGCAGATTTTTTTCTCAGGCTGTTGTCTGGCGCTCTCTCATCTGTAGCGCTCTCTCGCCTCATACTCTCCTCTCCGCGCTTAGTCTCTCATTCCCTTAGCACAGCCGATTAGGAAGGTGAGTGAGCCCTTAACCTAAGCGTTTTCGACGGATTCTTTTCCTTTTTTCTTTACTGCCGGCCCATTTCGCACCAATACATTCGCATTCGTGTACAAGAGCCACACCAATGTGATCCTGGGGCATGCCTTTAAGGGCGAGGAGCGGGCGATAGGTAGAGGAGGTGCCTTTGCAGCGCGTGCGCACATGTGGCACTCTTCTTTGCGGGGATGCACTTTCATTCTTTGTACTGCCTTCAAATACGCCCTTCTCATGAAGGTGGAGGAATGGAGCGAGTGAGCTTGCCTTCGTATCCTGCTGCGCTACACCCTCTTATTCCTATCTGCACCACGATGCCACTGATGTTACTGACCCCTTGACAAGTACGATCCCCTGTCGAGGATTTCCTCCACCGATATTCACCCTGGATAAGGGGCCGATTTGAGGATTAACTGAGTTTGTTTATTGTATTTTATTATTTGTCATCCCAAAACATTGTATCGACTTTCGTTTTCGAACGCAATAACCCACATACGATCATTCGCTGAATGTGCCTTCAAGAGCGGGACTGCTCGCAGAACAAAGCCTGGGTTCTGTCTTCGTCTACATTTTTTATTTTTTTTCTGACTACATTTTTTTCATTTCCCGGCAAAAAATGTTTCAGTGGTGGCGAGCTTCACAGCACTGACAACGCGAAAGCGATGCTGTAAAGTGTTCCGATTGTCAACAACTTTTGTGATGTAAGCACAAAATGAAAAAATATTGGAATTCTGCTTTATTATACAATCGTGATCACAAATTATGTTTTGTAATACAGTTAAAGTTCAGTTAAAGTACATTCTATTAGCTTTAAAAATGGAGGCAAGACGGATGACTTCGTCATACCCAAAATGTTGCTCTTCCTAGGACTGCTGCTGCTTTTCCTTCCAAATGTCACAGCTCAAGGTAACTGCTGTTATTGTTATGACAAAGAATGAAGTGGAATCCATGCCTTAAGCCTGACTTTTCCAGGAAAAACACCACTGCCGAAAAGGTTCGAATTCATCTACATGAAGCTCATTCAAAATGAAACCGGAGGAACTCTGGTTAGTGCTTTTAGTAAGATTAGACGGGAAGTATGCGAATCTTCGGATCAGTTCCTCGACCAATTTCTTTCTGTCGGGTGTCAAAACTTACATGCAGGTATGGGGTGAAATGTTGGCGATAGAGGCGTTGGACATATTGATGAAGGGATATTCTATGGACTTTTCCTACGATCTGAAGCTCTTAGCGACACAGTTCGTTTTGCTTCTCTATAAACCGTTCCAAAATACATTCTGAAAAGAATGTTGTACGTTCAGGAACTTCTCAAAGGAAGATAACTCGACTCTGGAACAAAAAGCGCTCTACACTTTGGAAAACACCTTACAAAGTAGTCAAGAAGAGGTCAGTTGGAGCTACAAAGAACGTCAATCATTCATAGCATGTTGGGCGTTGCCTGGTTGATGAACAATGCCTTCAGAGCCTGATATTTTTAGCGAACGAGTACCAAAATCATAGTTCGTGAGGAGGGCCAGACTGGCTCTGAGTTTTGAAGGCGGTTCGACCGTATGAGCGGATCAGTCCGCTGCCCCCACTAGAGCGCTACTCAGTTGAAAGTTTGTGGAGGGGTTCCTAACTTGATGTCCGAACCGCTAGAGAGGATGAGGCGCTTGGTGGGGTAGAGCGTAAGTCTAACGCTTGAAACACGTTCAGGCCTCTGAAGACGACGATTCAGTCGAAACGTTAGGCCATTGAATAAATGTTCCACCAAAACCTCGTAAGGCACAAGAAATTTAACAGACTTACAACTAGCATGCCGAGGGTGCAAGAAGAGAGAAGTTAGAGAACTCAGAAAATGTTTTTGCCCGTTCCATATTCAAGAATATCAAAATTCTTCTTCACCAGAAGCTGAGGCTATTGATTTAGCTTCGTCGGATCACTCCTGGTACCCTCTACGGATGTGACGGTATCATGAACACCAAAGGAAAAGAAGATGTGATGATGATTTTGTGCCTCTTCAAGAGTGAGCAACTGGATTTCGATTCACTTCAAAAGCTTTGACCTGGCTGCGATTTCAGCCATGATCGTGCACTTTTGAAATTCACAACAACCTTCTCAGTTGCAGGGGTGAGAGGGACAGACACATGGTCGGTGCTAGCGTTGTTCCCTTTTGAAAACTTTTTACGACCCCCCTCCCCCAAGGT